GCAACCATCCCTCTAGGTAGGTCTTTGGGGCATTCTATAGTTTCCCTTGTTGGCGGCCTAAGAGGAGCTTATCTACGAAGACTTTCCCTAAACCCTAAACCCCATACCCTAAACCCTAAACACCTAAACTCCTAAACCCTATACCCTAAACCCGAATCTAGATCTTAAGCCTCATCCGAAACCCACAGTCTCGAGCCGAAACATCTACATCGTAGACGCCACCTTAGGCTCGAATCACCCAGCAAGTTGGGCGTTGGGTTTGGGGCTTGGGGCTAAGGGGGTCTAGGGTTTATAGGGTTTAGGATGGTTTAGCGGATTGTTTTGGGTTTTGGGAGCCCTGTGAATTTGCTGTCCGCCTTACACCCCCCAAAAGCCAAGCCCCGAGACTGCAAAAACTACCCCACTCCTGACAAGGTGCCGGTGACGGGCACCTACTCCGGCTCTTGGATGAGGCCCTCAGATCCTTTAGCTGCGCAGTTCAGGGTGTAAGATTCTTGGCGTCCTGGCATTGTCATGGCATAAGTACCCATAGGCCCCATAGTAGTTCCGTTTTAATTTTGGGATTCCCTTTTGGATCCTAAATAATTACAAACCACAAAAAGGAACTACTATGGGGCCTATGAGTAGGTATCGTTCTTGGGAAGATTCTTGAGGAGGCAACCTATACCTTCAGTCCCAGCCCTAACCTTATCCAACCCGTGGCTATGCGGACCCAAACCATGGCTTCAAAGCTGTAGTTACCCTAGACCCTAAACCCATGAACCCATAAAGCCCTAAACCCTAAACCAAAAATCCCATAAACCCATAAAGCCCTAAACCCTAAACCCTAAATACATAACACACATAAACCCATAAACCCATGAAGCCCTAAACCCATAACCCATAAAGCCCTAAACCCATAAACCCATAATCCCATAAAGCCCTGAACCCCCCAAAGCCCCAAACCATGGCTTTAAAGCTGTACTAGCGGCTCCTTGGCTCCCTCCTTCCAAAAGTGACCTCGGCCTCCGAGTCCAAGCCCCAACAGATTTAGGGTTTAGGGTTTAGGGTTTAGGGTTTGGGGTTTATGGCAGGATACGGTATGCTACCATAATATAATACAGTAATTACCATCTAATAGATATAGGATACAGTATGCTACTATAGTATACTTGCAGTAATTACGCCGTATGACAGTCTAAACTGGCATTCTGACACTAAACCCTAAACCTTAAACTCCAAACCCTAAACCCTAAACCCTAAACCCTAAACCGAAGTCCCCGCCCTCAGTGGCTGCAAGGTGAGCCCCCTGCGCCTCGCCGTGTCCGGCTATTGCAGCTACGAGCCCGACACAGGTCCCTAGCGTTCAGGGTTTAGGGTTCAGGGTTTCGATATTTGGGTCTAAATAATTATTACCAATATCTATGATTATTCTTTGGGGGGGTCCTTATTATGGTTATTTATAGCATAATGGGCCCTTAAACCCTATTCTAATTGTGATAAGGCCCCTGCATTGCACCACTGTGGTTTAGTGTGTCTTGGGGGCTTTCGGGGGTGGCGGTGTGTGGGAGGGGGGGGGGGGTGAGTTCTACTTCAGCTTTTGAGGTTCTGTGTGCTGTTAGCAAACCACGACAGCTGATCGCGCTGGTGACGGGGCCAATCGTGCTGGTTTGCCGAACTACAGTAGCACTGGGCTCAACAGTGAGAGAACAAGTAGAACCAAAAGCAAGCTCATACTGCTGGTAGTGATAGTCTGATAGTGGTAGCTGTGGCAGCGGCGACGGCCGCCGCGGTGGTGGTGGTGGTGGTGGTGGTGGTGGTGGTAGCAGTAGTGGTTGTAGTAGTTGTAGTAGTAGCAGCAGCAGCAGCAGCAGGAGTAGTAGTAGTAGTAGTAGTAGTAGTAGCAGCAGCAGCAGCAGTTGTAGTAGAAGTAGTAGACCTAGTAGTAGTCGTCGTTGTCGTCGTCGTAGCAGTAGCAACAGGAGGAGTAGTCGTAGCAGGAGTAGGAGTTCCTTCACTCGCTTGCAGCGACCTGTCTTGTCTCATAAAACGTAGGCCAGGCCGTGACAGTAGAGTTCAGCAGTAGTCGTCGTCGGAGCAGCGCGGTAGTATCACTTTAACTTCAGGCGCAGCATCGCATCTTCGAGAGACGGTCGCCAAGCTGAATTTGGAGGACACCCTGCATCCTTATCTCGAAACCCGAAGCTCAGGGTTCAGGGTAGTTTCGGACAATTTCAAGTCCTGTGCGCTCAGGCGCAACAGACCCTAAAGCGAAAGCAGAGAGGCATTTAAGGTCAGGCTCTTGGCGATGTTGCGCGGGTTTGGGCATGATGTTCGTCTCTGTCACTGCGGGTTCACAGCTTTGATGCAGCTCTAGCCCTTAAGCGGGTCCTCGAGGGGTATATGAGTTGGGTGTCGGCATTCAGGAGTCATGTTTTGGCGCATGCTTCCGGACTTGATTGTGCAAAGGATGAGGGTTGAAGTTTCGACCTGCTAGCCGAAACCCTAAGCCCTACTGCGGCAAACCCGAAACCCAAACCCGTCGACTTGCCAGCCCACCGCAGCTGGAGGACGTCGCCCTCAACACTGACGCTTTCTCTCAGCAAACTGCTCTGGGCAGGAAGTATGACATTGTCCTCTGGTGCCAGAGCCTGCTTAAACATTCCCTAAACCCTAAACCCTAAACCCTACCTATAGTCTCCATTGTAGTTCCCTTTTTTGGTTTAACCAAATTTATAATAAGGATTTTATAAGGTATCCCCAAAAAGGAACTACAATGGAGACTATAGATAAACCCCTAAACCCTAAACCCTAAACCGGTGGTTTAGGGTTTAGGGGTTTGGGGTTGCCGCATGTGCCCTACTTCTGCTATTGAGATTGCCGAACGACCCCCAAATCAGCAACCATCCTTTCCCGAATGAATGTCTCAGTTTGCAGCTTCTAAGGATAGTACCAAGGCAGATCTTTCGTTTTACCAAAGGCTCAGAGTTTTAGGACTCGGAGATTGGGGTTTAGGATTTAGGGTAAAGGGTTCAGGGTTAGGGGTTCAGTTTTTTTGGTTTAGGGGTTTAGGGTTTAGGATTTAGGGTAAAAGGTTCAGACTTTAGGGTTTAGGGGTTTAGGGTTTAGGATTCAGGGTAAAAGGTTCAGAGTTTAGGGTTTAGAGAGTGTTGCGGTGTAGGATTCACGAAGAAACCCAAGTTAATTGGGCGGGTTCTGGGTTGCATAGAAAGCATCAGCGGGGTCTCGTAGGCTGACAAGAAGAGGAGGGGCACACCCGCAGGGTGGAACCCCTGAGCCCTATAAACCCTGAAACTGTTTAGGGTTTCGCGTTTAGGGGTTTAGGGGTTTAGGGTTTAGGGGTTTAGGGTTTAGGGGTTTAGGGTTTAGGGTTTAGGGGTTTAGGGTTTAGGATGCAACCCAAACCGTCAGACTCTGAAGCTCTGAGCGTCTCCGTGTACTCTCACATTTGTGCTTGGTTTGGTGTTCTTACCGGGGCCTTTGGGACTCTTCCCCAAACCCTAGCCTCAATGCTTCGAGAACTCACGGGGGCTGCTTGCAAGTTGATATGTGGGTTCAGACGGCTTAGAAGGGAGTTCCCTAAACCCTAAACCTAAAGCCGAAAATAAGGGGCACCTTGTTCTGCGGTCCTCATGATCAGGATCCTACTATTTGGGGTACTTATATTAGGGTCCCCTATTTTCGCAAACCCCCCAATAAGGGTCTGCAGTACGTTATCAAAAAGGTGCGGCTTTAATCTCGGGGCAGAAGCTAAGGTGCCACAGCCTCTACGGTGTGCACTGCAAAGTGCCCACACTGCTGCACTCGCTGATGTCCCTGGCGCCTGGTGGGCACTGCGTCGTGATCTTGCGTCGTGAGAAGCTGGACAGCTTCGTGCCGAAACACGAGACCCTATCGAGACCACCTGTAATTGCAACAACCTGAAGTAATCCCAAACCAGAAGCCCTAGATCAACCTTCTTGGGTTTAGGGAGACATCCAAAGGCTTATTGACAAATCCCACCTGCACTCTCTACTATAGGGGGCCAAATTATTACCAATTCTATTTCGGGGGGGCTCCTTATTAGAACTATAGTATATTGGGCCCCAAAACCCTATTCTGAATATTAAGCCCCCTGAAGCCTAAACCCTTATAGTAGCCCTTATAGAACCCTTCAAGGAACCCTTTTAAGGACCCCCAAAACCCTATTCTAATTATCAAGGCCCCTATATTACACTGGATTCCCAACTCAGGGCTTCGGGATTCAGGATTCTGCGCACCCCTAAACCCTAAAACCCTAAAGCCCTAAAACCCTAAACCCTAAACCCTAAACCCTAAACCCTAACCCTAACAGAAGTCTCTCCTGCGCGAGAAGCAAAGTCCCTTTCTTGACGGTTCCGGATCCGGAGCCCAAAACTTTGTCATAGTTGGGTAACATTTTACATTTTTAAAGGTACTTAAATCCAATAAGGAATATAAAATTTAAATTCTTAATACTACCCCAACCATGAACTAGAAAATGTAGACGAACACCCGACTTCCTACAATTGCAGAGACATGCTCATTCTGGTGGAGAGTGAGGAAGCCCTAAGCCTAAACTCTGAACCCTCAACCCCAAATCCAAAAACCCTATAAGCCCTAAAACCCTAAACCCTAGACCCTGAAATTTCAACTTCTTGGCTTTAGAGTTTAGGGCTTAAGACCCACATGCGGAATTATTTTCAGGTTGCAGGGCTTTACAGATGAGGGATTCCGGGTTCAGTGGCCCAGAAACCTTCTAGCTTTAGGGTTTAGGGCTTTAGGGGTTTAGGGTTTAGGGTTTCATTATGCTGAGTGGGCTCTAGATCAAAGCCTTTGATCTAGAGTCCACTCAGCACAATGTAGGAACCTGGCCCTACAACTCCAGAATAATCGGGCTCATATGAAGAACCCTTATAAAGATCCAAGGTTTCTTAATCAGATTCCACCCTCAACCCTAAACCCCTAAACCCCGAAACCAGGAGCCTTTGTTCGATGAGTTGATGCGCTGCGGTGTGCACGGCACAGTGGACTACTGGGAGGCATCTGTCGCCCTACCAGATCGTTTTACGAAATCTGAGGACAGGGTATTCTGAATTCAGCTTCACAAAGACCACTAAAGATTGAACTCATTTAAGCTCGAAACATGCACACCCTAAATCCTAACCCTCAGATCACAGAGCTTGTGCACAGTAGGGTATTAGGTATTGGTTTTATAAGCTAGGTTTTAGGGTTTTGGGTTTAGGGTTATACGGCTTTGGGGGTTTAGGGTGTGCGGTTCTCTCCCCTTCGAGGACTTGCACAGCATCGCCAGGGTCCTGTATGGCGCCGATGCAGCAAAGATCGAACATTTCCTCTCGGAGACTGCCTCTGCAGCCTCCTGCCCAGTTCCGACAGGCTAGTCTGGGGTTTCGGGTTTCGAGTGTAGGGACTACCTGGAGCCCCAAAGGTATGTAGAATAATGGACCTTTATAGGTATTGGGCCATTATGTTAACTCCTTGGGGGGTTTAGGTATAGGGTTGAGAGTCTATAGTTTTCCCCTAAACCCTAAACCCTAGACCCTAAACCCTAAACCCTAAACCCAAAGTTTGGCGTGGTGGCACGGTTTGAGCTTCAATCCGACAGGACAGGTACTGTACCCAAGGGGCCTTCAATGGCACCCCAGACGTACTGAACCCTAAGCCCTAAACCCTACAAGCACCAGGCGGTCTGTGCTTATAGGGTTAAGGGTCTAGAGTTTAGGGTTTACTTGGAGGTTCATGGGTAGTTATAAATGGGGTTATAAATAAGGTAACTGTAGTTATAACCCATATCAGGGGACTTATAACCCCACTTATAACTACCCATGAACCTCCAAGTAGTCTAGACCATGTCAAGACCGTAGCGTGGTATACCCTAAACCCTAAACCCTACACCCTGAACCCTAAACCCCTAAACCCTAAACCCTAAACCCCTAAACTAAACCCCTAAACCCTAAACCTTAACCCCCAAACCCTACGCCCCTAAACCCTAAAGCTCTCTATCATATGTTAGTCTAAACTTTAATGGCATTCGTGGCTCAAGGCAAAAACTTCGTGGCTCAAGGCAAGCATTTGCCTTAAACCACGAAGGTCAAGGCACCTAAGGCAAAATCTTCAAGCCGCGGAAGCCACGAACAAGGCAAACAGCCACGAACAAGGCAAAATGCCACGAACAATGCAAAAAGCCACGAACAAGGCAAAAAGCCACGAAAAAGGCAAAAAGCCACGAACAAGGCAAAAAGCCACGAACAAGGCAAAAAGCCACGAACAAGGCTTTCATGCATTGTTTGCTGGCTTGACAATGTCAAGCAAAGCTACACAACTTATGATGCTTGTTGTTGCTTATTACCACTATCACTCCCACTACTACTGTTACTAGTATTAGTACAACTATTACTATGACTGCTTCTATTAATAGTACTACCACACTACCAGCTCTAAACTAACCTTACCAGACACACATTCTATTGTAGAACCTGCTATGATATGAAAGTAGTTTACTTGAAGTATCAAGCAACAACTGTGCAAGACCACATGTAAGATTGAACGAAGTCTAACTGTGAATGAAGCAAGCATTACAGACTTGAATAAGAAGAACTGTTTAGCCTCGTTGATATAGAACGAACTTTGTGTTTTCCAATGTTATGGGTTTCATGGGTGGGTGGGTGTTATGTCCAAACCGCGAAAGTTACTCTGCTGTAAAACTGCTCGATCCGGAGCTGCTGAACCCTAAACCCTAAACCCCTAAACCCTAAACTCCTAAACCCCTAAACCCTAAACTCCTAAACCCTAAACCTTAACAGGCATGTTGCTCCTCACAACGCCTCTGTCGTGGCCGCAGGAAGAGGCCGGAAGAGTCCTCCGATCTTTCAGAAAGCTTCGTCGTCCCTAAGGGTGTTTAGGGTTTAGGGTTTAGGGTTTAGTGTTTAGGGTTTGGGGTTTTGGGTTTTAGGGTTTTAAGGTTTAGGGTTTAGGGTTTTAGCGTTTAGGGCCTACGAATATTACCGTGATATACCCCGAAACCTTCTGGTATTTTTCAGACTTCTATATCATGATACCTTGGCCTTGAAAGTGGTTCCTATTTTGTAACTTGGGGGTAAACGATGGGCCCTAGAATTAAAAGCGTTGAGCATAGAGTAGATCGTCTTTCAATGTTGTGGTTTGGCAACTCTCCTGCCACATAATCGAAGTCTACGGGACTTCAAGCCTAAACCCGTCATCATAACAAGTTGGATTTATCCCTGAACCCTTTACCCTAAACCCTGGTGGAGTGCCGGAAAATCCCGCAACTGGTGACTCGACCCCACCTGCTTTTGGTTTATTCTCTAAGATGCCAAGCCCTCCACCCAACGCCACACCTGCCGGCCTTAAACCATGAGCATTGAACCTCAGAGACTTTTACACGTGACTACTCTCCCTAAAGCCTACACCCTATCTCGGCTTCTTCTCATATTCCAGCTAGGTCGGGAAAGATCCTGCCACCCCTGCGTTTCTACGAAGCTCAAAACCCGCACCCCCAGAGACTCCCAAAAGCCTCTTCACGAAGTTCTATGTCTGGAGTTGTTGTTCGGATTCCTGTCTACCTAGACCCCAAAACCTACACCCTAACTAAGCACGGGATCCTTCTTCGAGGGTGAAGGCGTGCCTGCCACATGGAGCTAGAGCAGAGAGAGAAGAAAACTCCAAAGAATGACTGGGTCTCGATCCCGTGGAAACCGCTACACACCCCATAATACACTTCAGCTGCATTAAGGTTTAGGGGCTAAGATGTAGGGTTTAGGATGTAGGGTCTAAAATGTAGGGCTTGGGGTTTAGGATGTGGGGTTCAGCGTCAGTAGTCATTGGAATGGTAATTACAAGTGGCGACGACCATACTCGTGGGAATTGCTTGCCAGACCTCGCTCAAAGATCATGGGACTCAGCAACAAAGGTTCAGGCTTCTGATGGGAGACCCGAAACCCTAAACCCTAAATCCATCTAAATCCTAAAGCCCCGATCTGTAATCCCTTGTTCCCTCCCTTCACCCTTAACACCAGAGTCGGTTTCTAATCCTTCAGGCTGTGTCACAAGCCATCGCCCCCATAGCACGAGAGAGGAAGAATATTCAGCCGAAGACTCAATTCCAAAATCTTCAACCTACCTGCGAGGTCTACATATCGAGCAGCACTATTCCTTTGAGCTCGGTATTTCAAGTTTACGCTCTATTACACCCCCGGCCAGACCCGATTCTCATTATTCAGGCCACTTCATCTCCCTTGCCTAAACCCTAAACCCTAAACCCTAAACCCTAAACCCTAAACCCTATAAACCCTAAACCCAGAGGCCTACCAGACCTTCATGGGAAGCCAGAGATTTTGGACGAGGCATCTGAAGCCGCTCTCTGTGGTGCAGCCGACGTCCGTGGAGGACTCTTTTTAGCGCTCTAGGGCTTGTCCAGGGCTTGGGGTTCTACTAGGGCTTAGGGTTCTACTAGGGCTTTGGGTTCTACTAGGGCTTAGGGTTCTACTAGGGCAGGGTTTAGGAGTTTGGGGTTTACGTTGCCAGCTCTACGTGGGTGGCCTTCAAGGGCGGGGTGGAGGGTGCACCTAAAGGACTTGGTGCTAAGAACCCTGGACCTTGAACCCTAAACCCCAAACCCTAATCCTTAAACCCTAAACCCCAAACCCTACAATAGTAGCCATAAATTCCCTAAACCCTAAACCCTACACCCTAAACCCTGAAACGTAGTCGGAACATTCGAATCCTCATGCCCTTAAGGTAAAGCAAAGGAGATCCTTAGCACCAATCATCCTAACCCCCTGTTCCCACTTTCGGGTTTAGGGTTTAGGGTTTAGGGGTTCACTATACCCATAGGCCCCATGGTAGTCCCTTTTTGTGGCTTATATTTAGGGGTCCTACTAGGGCATCCCACACCTAAACCCTACGCCCTAAACCGTAAAACCCTAAACCCTAAACCCTAAACCCCTAAACCCTAAACCCCTAAAGCCTAAACCCTAAACCCTGCGAAAGGTCTTGCAAGCCGTGTTGCGCTGGGCCAGTCTGCATGGGCACAAGGTCCTTAGGGTTTCAGATTGGGAGGTTCGTCTTTTCAGGGTTTACAGGGTTTAGGGTTTAGGGTTGAGAGGGTTTAGAGGGTTTAGGGTTGAGAGCTGAGGGTTAAGAAGGTTTAGGGTTTACGGATGGCGGGCAGCATGTAGGAACATCGCGCCAAGAAACGAGATGTGGCATAGTCTGAAGCTACCTCCCTAAGCCCTAATCCTTAAACCCTAAACCCAAACCCCTAAACCCGAATCCCTAAGCCTTAAAAACTCAACCCTAAACTTCCCTAAACCTTTCCACCTTCAAGGTAACAATAGCTGCATGTGTATCCCAGACCCCTGGGTGTTCCGGCATCCGAATCGTTGGATTCAATGATCGAAGGTTCTAGTCAGTATAGCAATAACGAAAGGAAGCAAAAGAGTTTAGGGTTTGCGAGCGTGATACAGCCAATAGTAACACTAGTTTAGTTTGATCATGCAAAGCCTGGTACATCCTGTGCCCCTTACGACGGGAACTCGATCGCCGACTTCGGTGGAGGGGAGATGCGGGGCTGAAATGTCCGAGGTCATCGTTGAACTAGCAATTCTGTCTGCTTGATTCTGACAGCTGTGTCTTGAAGATGTGTCCTCAGTGTAGAACTTGTGGTGCATTTGGTCCATTGGTTAGGATGGCCCTTTGAGACTGAGATTTTTTCTGAGTCCGATGGCCCAAACCATAAATCAAGAGGCCCTATACCCTAAACCCTAAACCCTATACCCTATACCCTAAACCCTACTTGAACCCCTTTCCGCACATCCGCATTGCCGTACATCCTGAATCCATAAGCCGCTTACGTCCGAAATCCCATAAACCCTACCTTAAGAACCCAAAACCTACTTTTCTGTAGGGTCCCTATAAATCCCATATTAGGGTTTATAATAAGAACCTACAGAAAAGTTGGTTTTGGGTTCTGAAGGTAGACCCTAGACCCAAACCAAACCTGTGAACTTGCAGCAGAGTTCTGGCCAGGTCACTGTGGTCGGTGGCGGCCACAGTGGGCACTGCATCCAGACTGGGAAGCTTACACTGAAGTTAGAAGTTGCCCCAAGCGACCAACTCGGGCTTCGCGTTGCGTTGTAGTTGTAGGTTAGTTGTTGGGGAGAGTGTATGATTAATTGCTAGGTACTTGGATTGGACACTTAGGGTTAGGCTTTGCTCGAGTTTTAGCTCCTATGGGTTTAGCATTAGCTCAGGGTCGAGGGTTCAGGATAGAGGTTGCTCCTAAACCCTAAACCCGAACCCGTAAACCCTCAAACCTTCAACCCTCTTGAAGCGCGGATTCCGAGTACGTGGTCAGC